TAGAGTTTATATTGTACAACAGAGTTATACAAAGGCCTAAAGATAAGTTGAGAATTTATGTTGCATAAGAAAAATATACTTTTCTACGAAGCAGAAATCCTGTAGATTGTTGTTTTAACTTTTAAGGAATGAATGATTTAACTGATGTATACATGTTCTGTTGTTGAAGATGGTCATGTTGCTCACAATGCTAGCTCCAAGCTCCTTGTCGTGACGAGTTTAAGTTTTCTAGGGTGTCAGGTTATGATATCAAATCAGGCAGCCCTATGGTTGTAGTCCTTTAAACATTTTATGAGAGACATGTTGAGATTGTACAGTGTATGGCATAACAGTAGAATGTGTAGCACAGGATAACAGTAGATTATGCAGTGAAAAAAGAACAGTACAACATGCGGTGTAAAGAAAAGGTAAAAGGTACAGCAAGAAAGTGACTGCAAGAAAGTAACATGTTATAAACACAAAACAAACTTGCATACCTGGGAGATCCGTTGTTCATTAGGTGTAGTTGATGCAACAGGTACAAATAGAACAGGCTGAAATGCATCATATAAACGAAAGCAAAAGAAGAAAAGAAACGGAAACCGGAAAACTCGAGAAAGAACGGTAAATGACCCACGAAAAATAATTCGGGAAAAATCAACGAATAATCCATGACGAAAAGCTCGAGAAAATTGGCGAGTAACAATTCAAATAAAATCCTCAAAACCTCGAAAAAATTCAGGAAAAAAGACCACGAGTGCTTTGTCCAAAAATTTTGATAAAATATATGAAAATTTCTGAAAAGAGAGGACCGCAAGCACTCTGGTAGGGCTAGGCACAGATATATATTTATATTTGAGGGTCGTCGAAGGCTACTCGGTCACGCGGATGTATAAAGCCCGTCACTCGACTAGAAGGGTGTCCTATTGAACCTAACTTAGGGGGGTACTCCTCGGCCCAAACAGGTAATTAACAGGTGGACAACCAAATTTTTTTTAAATGTATTTAAAACTTATATTTTTAGCATGCATATAGGTTTCAAGCATGCAAAAGTGGATTGTATTAATTTTGTTTGTGGCCAATATATATATATATTTGTTTGAAAAAGGTGTATCCGTTCTTATCAAATTTGTTTTTATTAGTTTTGAGAAAGTGTAGTTGTCCACGAGTCGATCACACTATCGGGCGTGGGACCGCCACCAACCTAAGAAAGTACGGGTCAACTACCGCTAATCTTATGTCGGTGAATGATATTACATCCTGCGATTCATCAGGTCCCTGGAAATGGTCCTGATGTCGTAGGATGAAATATCTTTCCGATCTATCACCGGTGTGTCTTTGTCATCACCGCCCTAAGCCCCAAAACAAAACTGAATTACTTGCTACCTTGCTTGATGGTTTCACGTATAGCAAAATGCTATACGTGGAAGCTTATGCATCGGACATAAACATCGAAAACCGAACCAAGAAGCAAGGAAAAAAAGAACAAAAATGAGGTGAGAGAGAGGAGACACTGATCTACCTAAAACACCGAAAAGACGGAGGATGAATCAGCCATGAAAACTCGTAACGAAAAGACCTAAAGAGGTAGGGCCCAAGGTCCTTGAATCAATCCGAAAGAATATCATTTTCTCACTTTTATTAGAATTGGATCAACCTAAGGAGGGTGTCCTTTCCAAATCCTATCTCGAACGAGTCAAAACGGACCCGAACCGACACGACGATCACCCAGAAATGACCTCCTGATATCGGTGTCTAACCTCCAAAAATATCTTCCAGGGGCTCAATTTAATTCAACCAAATGCTCTCCCAAATAGGACTTGAAAATCCTCCAAATTCCATTAATTGAACAAAAGGAAAGTGACCCATGGAAGACTACCATCGGCACCTCCAAACTTATGCCAAAATTAAGATTTTTCAACTCCCAAATTAATCAATAGCTTCAAATACCAAATAAACATAGAATCTTCCAATAAAGCCACATAAATGCTCACGGTCGGGGTCAATAAAGAAGAGGAAGCAGCCATCAAGGCTCTCGGCCAAGGCCATCAACAAAAAAGGAGCTCACGACTAAGGCAAGAAACAGGGCCAAAAGAGGCTCACGGTTAAGGCAGTAAACAGGGCCAAAAAAGGCTCACGGCTAAGGCAACCCAAGGCACAAGAAAGGCTCGCGACCAAGGCAACCCAAGACACAAGAAAGGCTCGTGGCCAAGGCAACTTAAGGCACAAGAAAGGCTCGCGGCCAAGGCAACCCGAATCAATTTCACGAGGATCTTTGATATACATAAGAGAGTACAAAATATAATCATAATTTTGGGATGACAAATTTGATCCACCAACAATCATCCAAGTAATTCAAGCCCAACAAGAAGGATCAAATCAAATTAAACAACCCTCAATATATCTCACAGGTAGGAGTAGGAAACCATCTAACAGCTCTCGAATAAGGACAACACAACACACCAAGACAAGTTCTTGGGTGAGGGCCTAGAGCAAACCAAATCAAGCCCCCAAGCCACCTCTCGGGTAGGGACAAGTATAAAGCACAAACATAGGCTCTCAGGTAAAAGCTAAACCAGCAAACCGAGCCCCCAACCAGAGCCAAAGTACAAGCTTCCGAGGCTAATAAATGGAACACAAATCATTAGGACAAAACAACAACAACAACAACAAAGCCTTAATCCCACTAATCATTAGGACAAAACCTCAACTAAAACCAAAGCCAAAGGCCTCGATGAAATCAATATCCCATGCTTCAATTGTGCAAACCGAGTACCAACAAGAATCAAACCGAGCAGCAGCTAAGGCTCAAAACCAGGTCACGGCAAAGGCTAGAACATCCTCATGCCCTCGAAACATCAAAAACATAGGGCCACCACGTGTTTCAAATAAGAACAGATATAGAATTTTTTAAATCAAGGTAAACTTCTTCATAGCATGCATTTTTTTAAGCCAAAAAAAATTATAAGATGTCAAAACCGAGTATTCCACATGCATGAAAGACCAAATAAACTTTCTAATATTCCATGCTAGATAAGAATAAATGAAAAGCTTCATGGTACATATCCTAACATGTTTGCAAGAGGAGCTAACATTGTCTCAAAGCCATGTTTCAACCCTCCTAATTGCTTTCAATAGAAACATGCCACAGTAAATAAAAACATGTCATAGTTTCACCATTTTAAGCAAGTAATCAAGTCTAACTCCTAGAACATGCTCACATTTTCAATGTCTAGATGCTTGAGTAACATATATTTCAAAAATATAGGTGCAATATCACGCTAACATGCTATACCATCCACAACACCAAACTCAAACGCTCGGCAGAGGGAAAAGCGAAAAGAAGCAAAGCACAAGAGGGGGGAAAAAGGTACCTCCTTGCAGCAAAAAGCAACACAAAAATTTTAAAAGCACTCCTCAACTTCAATCCTTCCTCTAATAATAAGAGGAAGCCAACCCAAGCACAAAAAAACTAAAGAAGCAAGTGAGAAAAGAAAATAGCAGAGTTTTCCCTCCCTCCAAGAGATTTTCGGCCCACTGAAATGCTCCAAACAGACCCTAATATAGACCAAAGAAAAGAGAAGGAATGATTAAGAGATCGTATATGGCTCGAGGGATCAAGAGAGGATGAGATCCTCGCAGAGGATATGATCTGCCGCAGAGAAGATCGAACGCAGAACGCAAAAGATAGGATACGATGGATGGGCGCCTTCAAGGCTTGTCTCGCGTGCCAGAGACGAGCGCGGGAACGAGTCTCTCCAACGGCACGAAGGAGCGGGCCAGGCAACCGAACGAGCCAACCCTAAGGACCACGGGATCGAGAGCATAGAAGGGGAGAGGAGAGAAATAAAATCAGGTTAGGGACTAATATAAGTTATTAATTATATTAATAAGAATAATAAGAAAGTATTATTTATTATTATAATTAACATTTAAATGTGTATTTTCCCTCAGACGTGTCGTCGTAGTGAAACAAATGTCTCCCCTAGGCAAAATCGACGTTCCAGACGCGTTGGCGCAGTCCTTTTTGTCATTCGGAGTTGTTTGGACAACCTTGTCGACGATCGGGATAAAAATGCGTCGCGACCCGAATTACGTTAAAAACTCGGCTCGAGCTCAATCAAACAGGACGGCGAAAAGCTCGACAGCGCCAGATCAACGTGTACAGTCAATCCTAGGGCCAATGGTCCTATAGGGATGCTTCTTGAGCTTCCTCACAGTAGCCTCACCTACTAAGTGCTAGAGGTCAAAACTACTATGCGGAACTTCAAGTCGAGGAAAGAAAAGCTCGGAATTTCTAACGGGGAGAGCTCCTTTGCTTCTAGGAATAGTCGACAGGAAAGTCCTACGACTAGACCCTAGGCTATTAAAAAGAAGAGACTAAGCCTCAATCAAAAGTGAGGTCAACAACCATCCAAATTAGTAGATCAAAATAGAAAAATCAATAGAGTTACTTTTGTCAAGTGATTACAAATTACTATACTCTTATTAAAAACAAGCTATCACTTGGGTGATAACATTAATCTTTTTTTTTATTTTCATGCACTCTATAATAAATGGCATGCATGCCAGAATCAAGTAACTTAAATTACAATCAGCCAAACAATCCAGTGCAAAAATTTTCATCTAGCTTATGCCTTAATCAAATCAACTTACACAAAGAGCTAGATATGACTAGAAAACTAGAATTCACATCAACTACATTCGCTTGTTCAGTATCTAATCAGAAGCAACAGATAACAATAGCTTTAAATTGAACTAGTTGTACGAAATAAAATAACGAAAAAAGTAATGGCACAAAGAAATTACATTTAAAGCAAGGAGCCAATAGTGCCGCATTGCTACATGCAAGTCAAACATCATAATCATTAAAAGTCAGTGTCCAGTGCAACAAATAGCAGAAAAAAAAAGGTATCATTGCACCCAGGTTTTAGGACATGCTTTTAGGGCAATCAAAAAAGCTGGCATGCTTAAGCAGTCAAAATTATTACTTACAAGGGATCCAGGATAAGAAGACCCACCTTCCTTTTTTCTTCCTTTTCTCTTTCTGGATCAATGTCCGTAACACAATTTTTAACCTTGTAGACCTTTTTATGCCGTGAATCTACTATGGCAGTCAATAGACGATGTGACTTTGAAGATAAGGAAGATGGCATAAACCTCATTTTCCGCAACAGTCTCCCTTGAGATTGTAAAATTCCCTGATTTTGTAGGAATACACGGATTAATCCTAAAGGATAGCTTGGTTTAGTTATAGAAACTTAAAAAAAAAACGTATTAAAATTTCAATGTGATTTTGAATAGAGCCCTGCTTCAAACATTCCTTCATCTGTTTTAGCAGTAAAAAATAACAACCTTTGCATGTCTAAGAAAAAGATGGGATTGATCATGGTCTGCTTCCTGGACAGATATGTCAAGAACCTCATTCCCAATCAGCAGCTGTAAACTCCCATCACTCCATTGAACGAAACGTGCATTGCTTTCATACTGCAACACAGCGTGGAAACATATACTGAACATTTAACGACAGCAAAAAACACAATCGAGTACATTTCCAATAAAATTAAACTAGAATTCAAGTAAGAATAATGAAAGTATAAGAATTTTTAAGATCACAATTAACTGTGCTTTGAATTTGCGTGACTGGACCTTATGTGATTTATTGGATAGATACTACATTTGAGTAAAACTCCAGCATTCTGTTAAAAAAAGAAACTTAATATCCACCTACAGCAAAGATGCATGTCTCCATTAATAAATGTAATAGCAACCAAAGCAGACATCTGATTTTAAGAACAGGTTGATTGTATTTTGTCCATAGATGCTGGCAGAATGTACTCATCCATGTAGTAGTTTGACCTTTGCCACAAGTAAAACCATATCCAAGGAAGACTAAAAAAAAATGCAAACTGGTGTACTTTGAAAACGATGCTTGAAGAAACACAAATAAAGCCTGCATGTTCACTTAGATAAAGCAAGAAGATAATAGGTGTCATCAGATGATTAAATGATTTTTGGTTGTTTTACTCAAGTTAATTCATTTAAATATTCTGGCTAACTAAAAAATTCTTTCAGGGTTATTCTATTTCTTCACAATAGAAAGGGAACGACATCAATTGTGCGACTTAACATAAAGCGTTGTGGTAAGAATAGTAGTTCAAACTCACTGAAATACTCCAAACCATAACATGTTAAGACCAGGTGCTTCTTGCATCCCATAAAGATCACTATGATTTGCCAATATAGTTTTCAACTCAAATTGCCCAAATTTCTTTACGAACGTTACAGCATTTTCAAGAAGAAAAGAACATGAATAGTTTGACACTGAAATAAAATGCCCTGTGCCTTGTGGTGTAGACTGACTTGAAATGATGACATGATGGCAAATCCCATTGGATAAAAAAAGTACTCTTAAAAGCTCCGTTCTTAGCCAAAACTCAAGTTCCTGCATCTTAAGCAGGACTGGCCAGTTGAACGAAAACATGCCATAGTATTGAATATAACAATGAGTTTGATGCCAGAACATATATTTGTGAATAACAGTGAGAGTATTCCAACTGATATATTTGCCTAAATAACAAGGAAAATGTAGTTTAGAACTCTTTAGCATTGGCTCAATTTTTCAAGCACAAGCTTGCTATCGCATGTAATATCACTTCAAATCACAAGCTTGACTCCGCACATAATGAGACTAGATGCAGATATATCAATTCCTTGTTTTATGAAATCACGGCAGAACAATAAAATTGGATAATATAACAGCACAGAAAACAGATGCATACATCACAATCCATGAAACATCCTAGCCCACAAAACTATTGAATATAAATTATTTTATTTGCTTTGAATAATATATTCTAATAAAGATCTGCCAAGTGAAGATCAATCACGGACCATCTAGTACAGCCTCGAATATCTCTATAAACCTTAGAAGCAATCTTAACCGTCCACATTTACGTCCTCAACAAGTGCAAAAACCTCTAAGAAGGTTTCTTGTCCTAGCGCTCGAGATATGTCTCTCAAGAAGGCTCTCAAAAATGATTCCCCTAGGGGAGGAGATTCCTATCGACAAGTTATCAATTTCTCTGATATCCTAATCGATACCACAACCCCTAGACGGACTCTAATCACTTGCCCCAACCTCAATCCATTTATCACAGGCTTTTTGTACTATTATCATGAGAGATGGAATATACTGACTTGTATAATTATTGTGTTGTATTTCTTGCACATGGTATAAATGTTCAGCTCTCTGATGGTTCGCAATGCTTCAACCAACTCAATCAATATTTTCAGCATGGAATATCAACCTTTAGTATATTCCTTAACCTACTCAAGAATGATCACCGCTATAAATATCAAGTGACAATTCATTTAAAAATCATTTGAATCTAAGCCTTTGATCTTTAAACATTGCAAGTCCCTGACAACCATACTAAAGGTTTTTTAATCTTTAGATTTTGCAAGTCCCTTACAACCTCAATGAAGTTCACCAGCTCATTCAGTGAAGTTAAAGGATCCACTATAGCACTCTCTCGACATATCCAAACCTCTCATTTTATTGCTCTCCTTTGCTTTCCACTATTATAATTAATTTGAAATTTATTCTTCAGACTCTGGGTAATAATTTATCAGACTTCTCTCTCAGTCATTCTATTGCTTTTCTCTCTCCACTCTTTTTTCTTTCTCAAGTAACTTGATGTGTAATTCACAAACTTGTAGTCCTTTGCTCTCAAATAGTGAGATAAACTTTCAACTAAATAATTACGAATGTAGGTAACTCAACCGAAAAACAAAAAACCCTGTATCTTCTCTTTGTGCTATGACTTCTCTCTCTCTCTCTCTAGCTCCTCACACAGAGCAATCAAAATGTGATTATATCCTAATCACATTCTAGAATTCTTGTTAGCATGTTTTTCTATTCTCAGAGTAAACAAGCGTGCACTCCACATTTGAAGGAAGGAAAATTCCTCACCGCACCTAATTTACAAGAAAATTATTTATCCTTAAACTTTGAATAAAAATTATCCCATAGAACATTAACCAAGAACACCACAACCCATATTGAAGAAAATCATATCTGAGACTGCTTTATCATTTCTCAATTAAATTAATACATATTGTCAGTATTTTGCCAACTGCAAAGAATAAGGATCTTAACAACTTGGCATACGAGGGAGAGTTGAAACTATGTAATTGATTATCATTTTTACATGATTGTTAACAAAAATGAATCTCTAAGGTTAAAAACAAATACGAACAAATCCTTATACATGAGGAGACAATTCTACCATGAAATGGATAAAAAGATGACATCCAAACATAATAAAAAAATCCGATTACCATTAAAGAAAGGAAATAACCAAAATAAACTCACTCATGATATCATACATCAAAAACAAAACGATTGATCAACAAGCATAGAGAAAAAAGAACCTCAAAAAAGTGATTTACGGATATTAGTGCAGGTCATTCATGAAAGCTTGTTAGGTCAAAGTTATTCACTTACATTGGTTGTCCCATCTCGATTTTTAATAGTTCTCCAACGAACAATATTATCCTCTAAACGTATACGCTTCTTCATTCCTGATTCGTCAGTTACAAATGCATCTTCTTCTACATGTGTTGCGGGATCAAATGGTTTTTGTTCAATACCCATAATATTAGATACCCGAATCATGTTCATCTGCCAAAGTTAGCATAATTTAATAAAATGATCGAGACAAGAAAAAAAGAAGCGTAAAACATCAAATATATATATATAAGAGCAATGCATGAGCCTCCCCCTAACATCCAGGGCTAGAAAATGGTTAATGTGTGTATCTTGCACATGTAAAGCAAAGAGGATGCATCTGGATTGGACATATGTGACCTTTAAGTAGGACAACGCAACAACCAAATCATTACACCGGGTTGTGGTACACTGAACTAATGGCCACTGATTTATATCATCATCATCCATAAATGCAATAATTAGAGCAATGCATGAGCCTCCCCCTAGCATCTAGGGCTAGAAAATGGTTAATGTGTGTATCTTGCACATGTAAAGCAAAGAGGATGCATCTGGATTGGACATATGTGACCTTTAAGTAGGACAATGCAACAACCAAATCATTACACCGGGTTGTGGTACACTGAACTAATGGCCACTGATTTATAGGAAAATGTTCAACAAAATAATTGCTCTAAGGAGAGTTTATCATTATATGTTGAAGGTTTTCGAAAGGTTGGATTGAATGAATAGAAGTCACGATCATGACTACGCAAAATACAAAAACTACATCTCATAATTAATAAAATAAGATGCCAACTTGTGCAAATAGCTTAAAGGAATATTTTGCATGAGCATGTTCCCCCCATAGAATTTAGAACAAAGAAGTAGACAACTAGCAGGATAAAAATTAACCAAATAAAGGGATTGTTGACAAAAGTAGCTCACTTGATCAGGTCGGCCAGGAGGTGGGTGTAAAGGAATGTTGATCTCTAATGGAGGACCAATTGGTTTCTCCTTTGTTTTTTGGTCAAGATTCTCATCTTCAAACTCAAATTGTGCATCTTCATCAGGCACCATATCCTCCGGCTTGAGATCCTTCTCATAGATTTCTTCCTCTTCCATTGTAGACCTCTACAAAAAGAGAAGTTTTTCGATTACTGGCACCACTAACACATACAAATAAGGCAAATAGTAATAATCATTAAATATAATTTAGTGATTAAATTAAAAATCACTTGGTTATTTTCACACAGTTAAGTGTGCAGCCATTAATTTAGCCTTTATAAATTAACCAGCATATCTCAATTGAGCTTCTATACACAGACAAAATTAAAAAATTAAAAAATTAAAAAAAATCCATGAATCACATTCCCAATTCAGATTTCAATAGAAGTAAATAAATAAAGAGGATTGACAGAGAAAACACCCAAGTAGTTGGGATTAGCATGGCGATACACAATGCTCAACTTCTCAATGATGACTACTATAATTCCTAACAAAAATTACTCAAATGGAAGATTAAAACATAATCCAAGATCATGTTTCATGACCATATCTATGTTGCACACAGCAAGATACCTAACTTACAACAGCTACAATAGTTGAACATAAAATAAAAAGGATAAAAATAGTGGTGTTGAAAGCCAAAAACTCACATGTGAATCTTGTTCAAGATCATTTTGAATGCCATACTCCTCTCCTTCATCTTCATCGGATTCTCCAAACACATCACGAACTACTTCATTGTCCTTTTGTTCATCAGTTGACCTGTTGCAAAATCCAAAAATGTCAGTGGATGCTCAACATATTTGACCCTAAAAAAAACAAACCTCAAGAGAACATATAACCATAAACAGTTATTGCAGTTCATTTTTCCCATTAAGTGTCTAGAAACATGAATAGGTGAAGGGGCAAACAAAACTCGTCTGCATACCATATACAAGTTACTAAGAAAAGCTATTTAACCATGCAATCCATATGGAATCACCTTCGGATGAATTGGGATGATTATGATTCAGAGCAAAAAGTCAGCAACCAAATTGTAGAGATAACAATAAATATTTGGCAAGTCTATTATAGCATAGCTTAGAAGGGCAAAAATATACATTCTCATTAAAAAAAGAAACTTTAAAAAGAAAAAACACATATCTATGAATATACATCAGTCACATGCATAAGAAATTACCTTATATTCCTTGTATTACCAACTTCTTCATCCTCATTGTGAGGCTGGGAAAAGTGGTTCTCTTCAGAGCCCTCTGACTCAATGGCATATACCTCTCGCCTTCTACTTGTTGCTGTCCTCTGCCCATATCCCTCTTCTTCACTTTCAGCATACTTACCTTCACTCCGCGCCCTCTCATCACTAACTTCTCTTTCTGGGGAACCCTCACTCTCAACTTGTTCAACGTCAATATCATGAGCTTCCAGCTCACTTTCCACTTCAACTTCGCCTTGCCCCTCCACTGCATCTTCACCATCAGCCTCGCCCTCATATTCACCATCAGCCTCTGCCTCCAGTTCCTCGCCCTCTTGCTCCCCACCCTCCTGTTCACCGTCAACATCAACTTCAATTTCAGCATCGGCTTCCACATCTTCCTGCAAAAGGCAAAAACAGAAAATGAGAAGTTATGGCATGAAACTGTAAATGGGAGATTCAATTGTCATCACTTAAAAGAGAGAGGACATTGACTTTTCCTCACAAAGAAAACATAACATTGAAGTTAAAACCCAAAATAAATAAATAAATATTTTCCAAACATCTCATAAAACGCAAATTTCTGCTCTAATAAATATCCAAAATAATATAAAAAATAAATAGTTAAACGTCATTTCTATTTTATTAAAGAAACCCCAAACTCAATCACTTCCCTCCTCCAAATCCGAAGCAAGCAGGTGAGCCAAACAATTCGAGGTTATGATGACAGCAGAAAAGAACCGAAAACAATTCAAGGATCGTAAACACGCACCGATGGGTAATCCGACTGGTTTGCTGCCGCCTCGTGCTCGGAATCGATCTCTTCTTCTTCCTCCTCCTCCTCGGACTGATCGCCGAAGAGGTTCTGCATCATTATGTTCCTGGTCTCCTCGTCAGCATCTCTGTCTCCCGCCATCACTCCCTCCCTCCCCCTCTCTCTCTCTCCTTAGTAGTCCTTCTACCTCTTCAGGCTGGCGAGCAACGCCGCGCGATTCGATGTTCTCCTTCACCGAAGCATTGCTTCAACGTGAAACCGGCTTCTAGACCTAACGCCTCACTATGGTATGGATGGTTCGGTTCGATTGGGCCGACATAAATAAACCAGTCCAAGATAGCTTCGTTGGCGCTCAGATGAACCGGATGAAACAAGCAAACTCATTTATTCATATTAATACTCGGCTAGAATTAATAATCTATTAAAATTTAATCCCGAAAATAATATAATTAAATCACAAAAAATTTCTTTCTATATTAAAACTCTTTTAATAGGAAATAAAATCAAAATTTCCTGTACTTAACTCGATCCTACATGACTCAAACTATATATGACGCTGGCTATCAAGTAAAATGACGTTTTTCTTTTACTTTTTAAAGAGTATGACTAAAATTTTTGTTCAATTATTCACGATGCGCGACTATTAGAAAAAGGTGTGGGATTTAGCAACTTTTTAGTATTTACAAACATACCACACATTTCTTATGTATTAACATATCCAATAAAAAAAATTTCTTTCTTTTTTGATTCCTAGTTAAAATTATTTAAAATTTAATAAAATATAATGTTTTTTAAAAACAATAAAAAAAGTTTAATGTATAAATATTATACAAATATTATTTATTTATTATATTGTTGGTGTTCGACTCTTCTGCTTAATGAACAAATCGGACACGAGCTACCCAGCGATCTGAACATGATTTATTTGCGAACAAAATGCTTTTTTGACAGCCCTAGCGGTGTTACGTTGCAGGTTAGATTTACACTGAATAGAATTCATCAAATCCAATAAATTCATGTTTATCAAATCGAGTTGGTGACAGGAAGAGATTGTGAGCAATGACGGAAAAAATATGGCTCGCAATACGCCTCAAAAGTGACGGAACGTGGGATCGAATGATATGCAAGCAATATAAATTTAATTGAGCATTAAATTTATTATTATTATTATTTTGATTGGATTTAATTAAATTCATAATTAAATTCTATAGAGAACATGCTACCAAACACCGTTTAGGCTTGGGAAAATTCTCTTGTAAGTTCATTGATAGAATTTCTATATCTTACTATTTATTTTAAATATACTGATAAATTCATATAAGAGATTAGTGTAAGAGGGTGTTATGAATTTCAGTGTAGAGAATACTCTCTTCGAGTGCACAACTGACTATCCGATCCATAAAGGACATAATGGGCCACTTGTTTTTGGGGCTTGATGTATCACGTTACTAAACAAATCATTCAGCCCACTGGGCCGTGGCATCGAGAAAGATCATGCAATGGACGGCCAAGATCTACTGATATTAAATCCCGAAGCTGCGTCACACCTAACGTAAAGGAATCTATCGGGTTTGTCATCGAATGCACAGAACGGACGGCAGCGATTCGTCCAACCTCTACTGGCCAACTAAAATAATTGAGGAAAAAAAGAAGAAAATAATTTTGGGGCTCTTAGTCCGATCCTGTTTGGGTCGGAGCCGAAGCTCCCCGTCTTCTCCTCCAAGAGAAAGAGTTCGTTGAAAATTTCGCACTAATTCTGATCACTTTATCTCGCTGCCCCCCATTTCTCGCCGAGCACAGCTTCACAGGAATTTTCTTTTTTAATCGTTTTTTGTTTCCTCTTCGGTCTCGAGAAGCCCTAACCCTAGCTCCAGGAAGCGCGGGAAACCCTAACCCCAATTACTCCGAAATCGACGGAAGATCGCCATTTGGGGGAATACGAGTAGCTCCACTGCCTTGGACGGGTTTAACTACGGAATCTGCTTCACGGATCGCAGGGGAGAGTGTTTAACAGAAGGAAAACAGTCTGCGCAGCTGGGGTTCCACTCCTGTGGTGATTTTTGCTGCTCGTAAGGCCTAATTGGGTTTGGAGATTTGGAATTTCTGCACTTGCTTTAGGTTTTGTCTGTGGCTTTGTTGGGTGAGCTTGTTAATTGATTTTTTTTGGACATATATGACTTGTTTTAGTGGCGGCGGCTGTGTTTTTGTGCAAGGAAGTTAGTAATGTGTGAGTCTGCTGGTTTAGGGTTTGAGGTCCAATGTTTTGTCTTTATTTGGGTGCGACGGAGCTAGAGGAAGAATGTGGTTTTCTTCTTCTTTTGGCGTTCTTGTCTGCAATTTTTGCAGATTGAACTCGCGTGCTACTTAGCTTGTGTCATGTGCTTCTGAATTTAGTTCAAGAGCTTGCTCATCTAAGTCATTGGAAAGCTTGTATATGATTGGGATTTTTATTGCTGTGGCCTACGTGCTTTTGTTCTCATTTGAGTCCCCCACCCTCACGCCCTCCTTTTATATAGATCTTAAGGTCCTGGCTACTGATGAACACACAACCGCAGCATGGAGCTTGGTTTCTAAAGTATGAGTTCAACTTGTTGTTGCAAAAATTTTCTGCTGGATGAATATGTTAGGCTCAGATCAAGATGGGAGAATATGTGTCTGTGAACGAATCTCAAAAGAGGTGCAGTGAATAGTCTCTTAAAGTTGACAATGGTCTGTGGTTTGCCATAAGGAGTCTTTTTGGCCTGATATATGAGAGCATAACCTGCTAAGTAATGCTGTGCTAGTGTCTCAAAATCGAGCCTGGTTTATTTAGCTCAAGATTCACTAGGAATCCTTACTAAATAATAACATGCTTAACTTTCATTCTTGCTTTCCTCACCTATTCCTAATGGATGGCAACCTTTTAGTGATATTTTCTCTATTTCTAAATTCCTCTACTTACAGATTGTCTGGCTTACATTATTATGGTGATACCTGCAATAATTTAGATAAACCTTTGAACAATTGCATCTTAATACCTTTCTGCAACATATTAAGCCATTTCATTTTACTTCAACTTCTTTTATCTGATCATGGTTTTTTTTTTCTGGCTTTGTAGTAAATAACTACTCATTTTGTTTTGATCGGTTTTGTATTTTATATGCTTCTTCAGTTCATAAAGCTGATTGCTTGACAGAAATACATATTGCTTCTTTTGTTTTTTCCTCCTAAAGCTGCTGAACACTCTTTTAGAGCATATTTGCACTGAATTTTAACCATCAGACTCTTTTCTCCAGGATCAAGAAGCTGTCGAAGCTCTCAATTCTCATAGATTTGGACATGTTTCAAACCAAAGAGAAAATAGAATAGACAGCTCACAATTGGCCAATGTAAGCTATTTCTTCTATGTCTGGGAATGAAATTACTGGCATCCACAACTTCTTTGAAGAAAACAGCAGTCATCAATCTCAGGTAGTAGGTTCTGGTCATATCGCTTCTAATACCAATCCATGGATTGGTGCCCAGGCGATGAGTGGAGTGGTCCCATCTTCTGATACAGGTAACTGACAATATTGGCCTTCCTTATATATTTAGTCCACATTTTTTTCTCTTGAAAGATGTTTTGCCCTGGTACCCGGTTCATTTGAGCTCATATGGTTTATTTGGTTAGCTTAGCACCTAGTATACAGTTCATGGTTCAGGTTTTGATTTCCTAGCTGTCCCAAAATTTTGATGCTTTATGATCTCCGTTAATTTAAAATTCAATTTGCATTAACAGATTCTAATCAGGGAAATGTTAGGCTACCTTTTCAGACGCCTTTTAGCATAGGTTTATCACAGTTCTCTCTGAAGCAACATATCAATAGAAGCCAAAGTAAAAACCAACAGTTAAACTTAAATGAGTTGATGCATGTTTCAAACGCTCTCCAGGGAAGGTCTGGCCTGGGTAAGTTTCAGCAGGACGGAGTGATTCCTGATAATCTTAGTTTAATGCAGAGAGGCTTACCTAATTTTGGATCTCAAGAGGGAAATTCTCCTGGCTATGGTTCTGGCTTTCCTGGAAGTTTGGAAAAACCAGAAGCATCAACATCCCCAGTTAGTTTTGACTTTCTTGGTGGCCATCAGCAGCTTAGTGGTCAACATCCTGGAATTTCGCAGCCTCACCAAATGCAGCAGCAAGGTTCTAATGACATGCATTGGAAGCAGCACCTGATTGCCATGCAAATGCAAGAGATTCAACGGCAGCAACATCTTCAGCAGCTACATGTTGGAGCGAGGCAGCACAATTCTTTTAACCAGATGTATGGAACAACAGGCCAAGGTGCTACTGATGAATTGCCTGGTATGCTGAGTGGCTTGCCCATTGCAAATGCAGTCAATTTCATGCCAGGCGAGCTCCTGGGATCTCAATCAAAGCCGCCGAACAGTTCTCAAATGTTTATTCCTGGAAACATTAACTGGACACAGCGCAACATACCTTTGATGCAAGGTATTCCAAATGGGCTTATGTATTCACATGACCAGGTTCAGTCTATGCATTCAATGGGATTTGTTCCTCGCCAATTAGATCAATCTTTGCATGGAACTCCTGTTTCTGGTAGCACGGGATCTCTGAACCATTACTTCCAGTTACAAGGTATGTCTAATGATATCACCCCAGTTGACTTGATGTCAAAATTAGGTGACAACAATGCAGAAAGGACATCAGTGCAATCATCCGCACAGAATGTCTTCCGCAATGATCAGCGTCCTATTTCAAATCAATGTTACTCAGGTGCTAGTTTTGTTGCAGGAAGGCAGGGTGCTCAAGGAAGAACTCTGTTTGGTAATGCTTTAGTCCAGAGTACGGACTGTGGTGCTGTTTCGGGAAGCATTCATCAATCAAATCACTTGGTAGAAAGCGTACAAGTTCAGGAATTTCAAGACGGACAGGTACAAACGGATTGGTTGGGTAAGTCTCATGACAGCATCACATCACATATTGCCCCTTCTCATGCCACTACTAGTCTGGATCCAACTGAAGAAAAAATCCTGTTTGGCGTTGATGATAATGCCAATTGGGATGTTTCTCTTGGGGGGAGTAGCAATAGAGTTGCAGGAACTTATCTGAATGGATATCCCATGCAGAATAATGACTGCCTCAATGTATTTCCCTCACATCAGAGTGGGACTTGGAGTGCTCTAGTGCAGGAGGCATTAGAGGTTTCCAGCAGTGACACGGGCCAACTTGAGGAGTGGAGTGGACTGAGTCTTCAGAAGGCAGAACCACAAGCAGGAAATCATTTGGTTTTGTTGAGTGATAATGACAGGCAAAATGCTGTAAGTGATGCTGAAAACAACTTGCATGATGCACCGAGATCGAAGCCTTTTTTGTCGAGTGATAGTACTGCCAGACAAAGCTTCCATTCTGCACGTAGTTCTCAGCAACCCATCAAATACTCGTATGAACAAAATGAAAGGTTAGAAACTGGTCATTCTATCCAATCTGTTCAGCAATTATCAACAGAAACAAATGATGTACAGTTTGCACAAAATTATCAGCCATACAATTTCATAGGGAATAGTTTTCAAGAGAGACAACAACATCTAAATGCTCCTAATGATGTTTGGGTAGTCCAGGGGCACCAGCAAGCTATGCAACACTTGGATTCTGCAGAAACGGGATCAAATCCTCAGGGAATGCAGCATTCATGGATCCACCAACAGAAGATGCCTTTTTACAATATGAATAGCCAGTTCAGTAACAAACTAAGTAATTGGGGCATAGAATCACCATCTTCTAGTGGAAGTCGTAACTTTAAAAATGATGATAATGGTGACCCGAATCAATATGCTCGAAGCAATGACATAAACACTGCAATACATATCGAAAGGACTCATGCTAGAAGCTTGGGAAAGGTTGGTGAAAGCAAAGAAGCTGTGTCCTTGAGCTCACTTGGAGGATCGGAGTCAGTTAAATCTGAAACTAATAACCAAAAGATCCCTGATGAACATTCCTATGTTGCTAACCTTGCCGATTTTATGAATCCCGGCGCATTTAGATCAAACATAGCAACGAATCAACAGCTGCTTAGTAGACAGAGAGTGCATCCTATTAAACATGTTGCTGGCCATCCGATCATAAAAGATAAAGAAGCAGATCAAGTTAAAGACCAGAAACCGCCGAGCACTTGTCCACAAGACTGGGATGCATCTCCAGGTTACATTAACAAAACATCTGGTGAAGCACATGGCCGTGCATTTAGTCAGTTGAGCACTGGTCATGGCATTGATGATGGACGAAATGAGGGAGATGATTCTTTTTTAGATCGAAATGGTCATTTGCGTTTAGTCAGCGGTGGCCAAAAGTTTACAGATCAGTCTTTGGGCTCTCAGAGGTTTCAATTTCATCCCATGGGAAATCTTGAGATTAACATGGAAACAGCTAATCAGGAAAGCCATAAATCACATTCTCATGCTCCTGCTCATCCCACTGTTTGGGGATTGAATAATCAAGAGAAAGAAAATTTTAGAAACTCTCAGTTGATTGGCCATGTGGCTTCAACTAATTCTGTTGATATGGGAAAGGTAATGGTGGTTGTCAAGTTATGGCTAATTTCTTGAATCCTTGCTGACTACTACTCTTTCATTTATGAAGTCTAAATAAATTTATTCCTGTCTGTTGTAGGATTGCTATATTGATCCCCAAAAAAAATCAACTTTAGCAGAGTTGCCACATACGGGAACATTTTCTAGGAATAATCCAGCTATACCATCTTTCAGTGCAACGACGGCTCACTTCTTTCAAGAAAACAGAACCGGTCTTCATAGGTATCTTTGTCATGAAGCTGTTGTTATTGTACTTTTTTTTTTTTAATGAAATTGTATATAGAGTTGCATACACCTAAAATGATAGTTCTGCCTGATATTTAAAGTAAACCATCTTGCATTATCATCATCATCATCACATTGAACTGTTTTTTTTTTTTTTTAATTTGTAGTGGGAAGTGAAAATAATATGGGTGCTTCAATTAACTGAAGTGTGTATATCACAAGAAACATGACATAATATTGTGTTTTATTTAACAACCATCATATAAATCTAAATTATAAAATGATTTGTGGTATTTTAAGTCAATTATTAACCATAAAATTTTTGTCCAACTAGCAAGCAATATGACATTCACTGTGATGCTTAGTACCCCACAGTTGAACTGGTATTTTTTACACCTTTAAGGGCAAGCGGAGTGAACGCATCATGCACATGCACTCTAAAAGGCAACTGTGATGCACTCTAAAAAGGAACTATGAAGCGCTCTCATTGCTTCCTTAAGCGCACTTCACTGTGTACGCTTATTTAAACATTTATATAATGTTTGACAACCTTATAGTTACTTTTCTTTTTGCACTGCAATTTGAAGAATAAGCCTATAGATGTGTTATAATATATATGCTTGGTTCTGTAAATTTTGGTTCTTTTCTCGTTTTTCTTTGGTACTTTTTTGCGTGACCTGCTGCAACCAAGGAAGTATGGCTAGCTTTGACCCCCAAAAAAAAAGAGTGCAATTTGGTGGTCTAACATATAGTTTTATCTGATCAATTGCAGTCAAAATGCTCACATGCTTTTTGACAAGTCGGATCAATCAGACGACTGTACTCGTGCTGCCAGACAGAACAATCCTGAAAACGGCTCGTCTTCTGGTATGCCCGAGGTAGTTGCTTCCGATCGGCCAACATCTCATTTGCAACATATCCAAGCAAATCACCTACAAGGCTCTGGTTTGAAATTGACTCATTCATCTCAGAGGCAGTCCGTGGCTGGCAATCCCTTGCTCATGCATACACCAGCTGAAGATACACATCAGGCATGGTCATCATCCACCACTTCAGCTGTAGCTCTGCCAACCATTCATGAAACCAGTCAATGCGAAAACTTGGATTATAAAACAGTCATGTCTCAAGCCAGAAATGATGCCTTGTATTCATCTACTAAAGGGAACTCATTGGGGATGCTAAATAGCATAAGAAATCAGCCTCTACTTCAGCAACAGAGCATATCTTACCCATCTAGACAGGCACAGTTTGAGCAGTCCGTGAATCAATCATTTGGTAACAAAGTGAATGCTGATGGCCATCCCAAACATCTTCATCCTTCACAGGCACAGGACCATCATGATATATCTCTAGCTAATCAAACTTCTCAGGCATTGTTTCCAGGTATGCCTGGTAAAGTTCCTGCTGCTAGACTCGCTTCTTTTCCTGGCAATGGTGCAGCTTTACCTTCACATTTATACTCTCAAGAAAGCGGAAATTCTGATATGATAAATGCTAGCTCTGATAGAAGAAATGCAAGCCAACTTCTCCAAGTGACAGAAACTGTGCCCTCTAATAATCCTTCAGTTGCTTCAGTTACTTCGCAGCAAGGTCACTTTTCTAAATTTTTCAGTAATGCATGGAGAAATGCAGCCGCTCAGCGAACTTCTGGATTACAGCCTCAGAAGCTCCCTTCTAATTTACTTCAGTCCTTGAATCCCTTACAGCCCCCACATCAGGATGATCAACGTGCAAATAAGGGAGTAAATGCTTCATCTGAGATAGGCACTTGCTCTATTAATTCGCAGCAATTTGCCTATGGAGAAGAAAATCCACTAAAAGGTGCAAAATCAGAGCAAAAACATTCAGTGGGTGTGGACGCACCTCCTAAAGTGGCCAGTGCATCTGAGATGCAGGAGCAAGAATCCAAAAATACCTCAAATAAAGGTTCTGCTCTTTCTATTTCTACTTCTGATCTCTTGATTAAGCAGGACGAGAAAAAGGGAAAGTATGACAATCAGAGGGAAAAAGTGACCTTTCCAACTATTTTGCCGTCGATGAGTGAACTTCAAACACATAGTTACTCTTTGTTGCAGCAAATGGAAGCCATGAAGGGAACTGACTCTGCTTGCAGAGGATCAGATGCTGGTTCACAGCCCAGTGATTTGAAAATGCTAAGCTTTTCTTCCAGGGAGATTGAAGAGAAAAGTGGCAATGCATCTAATCACCTTATTAGTGGAGAGCTGGCATCTTGCAGGCCAACTTCCTTTCCCAGGCAGCATGATCTACAAAATGGTTCTCTCAGTAGTTCTATGCACAATCTTACTGGGATGAATGAGCGCCACTTGATTAATCCTCAAATGGCTCCATTTTGGTTTGATCAATATGGAAACTATAAGGATATTCGGACTTCGGGAATGTCTGACAGCCTTGGGAGTTCTCAGAGAAGCACCAAGGCTGTTGGTCAGCATTACTTTTTCTCAAAAACATCTGAGCAAATGGATAATGATGTCATGATGAAAAGGAGAGGTGATAGTATCTCGGAGAATTCATCACCTAGTGCTGTGGCTGCAGATTTTCGTTCATCTTCTCATTTAAAAGTAATGGTTACTGATGAAATTTTGGTTCCATTAAGAAAGAAGCGGAAAATTGCAGCATCAGATCTGCTTCCATGGCACAAGGAGGTTACACGAACTTCACAAAGCTTGCAAAGTTTCAGGTGTTTGATTCACCTAGTAACTTAAAAGATACTTATTAAGTATATCATTGTTTGAGTTTCTATGTTTTGTTTGATTTAAATGTTTTTTGGTTGTTCACAGCTTGGCTAAGAGGGAATGGGCCCTGGCTACCAATAGGCTGATTGAGAAGGTCATTTGGCTAAAAATTTATATTTGATCTTATAGGTTTTTCGTTTTTTTTTTAATTTTATGGTTTTTAGTAAAGATCTCATTTAATTTTTTTTTATTGTAGATTGAAGATGATACCGAAGCTATGGATGATGTTTCATCAATTGGTCGACCTAAGAGGAGGCTCATCTTTACAACTCAGCTGATACAGCAACTCTTTTCTCCAGTACCTACCAAATTTCTTTTTCAGGATTCCATGATGTCCTATGAGAAGGTGATTTATTACCTTGCTAAACTAACACTTGGAGAAGCATGCAGCCTGATCTCTGGAAGTGATTCTGGATTGCAATTAGAAAGTAGGGACATGTGAGTTTTCCATAACTTGGAATCTTTTTGTATGCACTCATCTTATTTGGTTTGATATTTGGTTCTGCTCCATTTTTTAGATTTGTTATGCCAAATTTCTTCTAACCATGCACCTATGATTATTGTACAATCTGGTTTTGTGATTTCACGATTGATTTTTAGCATGCATGTTTTATGTAATTGTTTTTTAGCATGATGTTTTATGTAATTGTTTTTTAGCTTGATGTTTTATGTATCTGACCATACCATATGCTAATCTAGCTTAGGGCTGCTATATGTATCATCATCTCTACAAAGCAAGATATTTTTAAGTATTTCTCCAGCATATCCTAATCCCATACTTTGCATGCTTTAGGATATCAGAAAATAATAATACACTCAAGAAGAAGCGAGAAGAATTTTTCTCAAATATTGTGGATAATTTCATTGTGAGCTTGCGGAAGCTTCAGAGTAACTTTTTGAGGTATGAATTGAGTATTGCTTCCAAACCTCCACGGTCCTTTTTTTTGGTATTTCCAATGTACTCTTAGAACACCATTTTTTTTAATTAATATTTTTTGTGTGATTTTCAGCTACTACTTATTTTAAACTGGCTTCCTGAACACTACATTGTATTTTGGTTTATCTGTACCTTGAATTTTAATTGACTTTGCCGTGCATTAGAATATATTGTTAAATTCTAATTTATCCTTATATCCTGTAACATATGGTCAAGTATCTCAACACTGTTAATGATTTAATTATGTCATATAGCCATACATATCATGTTTCAAGATATTTCCTGCACTTAACTGATAAATTTAGCTACTCTTCTAAGTATTTTAATATCTGACACCCCAGCTATTACATTTTTCTTGTTGCAATTCAAAAGCGTGCATCTGATGCTACTATTTGATCTCATAGAGACAATTGTCTGAGGCTTGACAATATTTGCTCGCTGCTTTTTGTTGCTCATGGTATTTTGATGTTTGTATTCGTTTTAATTCATATCCATGTACACGATAATTTAACCATTAGCTCAAATTGGAAAGAGTTTCATTTAGGGATTATGATTTACTTGATATGGGTTATTCTTCAGGAATTTTGCATCAGTTGTGGTAAGATGATTATACCTTCATTATACTTAGAGCATATAATCTGTGAAATTTGAGCAATGATTTTGGCACGCCATTGTGAGCCCGTTTCCGACGCATGCTTGACACAGAAATGCATGTGATACTCGTTCAACACGTGTTGTCTTGTATCTTCTCCTTGTTGTCGTGTCTGTTTTCATTCTTCCTAGAGCCTCAACAAACCACCATGGCTGCTAAAATATCATGCAATTGATGCCCATATTGTGCTTTGGACTTGGCAATCTTGGTGCCCTTTTCAGTTCATCAAGTAGAGCCGGGTGTAGTTTGCAGCCGTGTTAAGTGCTTAGGTAGAAGATTGCGGTACTGATAAGGGGTATTTATTTACAAATATAAGAAAGACTAGTTGGAAACACCATACGCGTCTAGCTCACTGTCTTTCAAGGAACTGATTTAGTAATTTCTTGGGGAATGCAATGGCTAGGGGATATGTTGAAATTATTAGTGGAGTTTAATGAATGCATGCATTTTGAATTTCGTTTTTGCATGGTATATTTCATCATTATCGACTCATTGCCGATAGCAGTTAAGTCATCGTCATTTGCTGAGACAGGCTGAAAAGGCTTGAGGGTAAAGTTGAGTGTGGAAATATAAATTATGTCGTTCTCTGCCTCTCTGTTGTGTATTTTTGAAACTTTTTATGAAGGTTAATAATATGATATGGATTTATAATATCTTTGGCTCTTGTTTTTTCTTGCGTTTTGTTGATGGACCTATTAAAAGGTTTACTGCTTTCTCAATGGTTTAGGTTGGAAGGTGGCTCCTCAGTTGTTGATTTTAGAATGGAATGTCAGGATGTGGAGAGAGCTTCCATCATAAACCGGTTTGCAAAATTCCATGGCCGTGGTCCTTCAGATGGGATGGAGGGCTCCACCTCGGAAATGGCTCCCCGTCGATCATTTCCACAGAGAAATGTGACTGTTTTACCAATGCCTAAAAATCTGCCGGATGGGGTGGTATGCCTTTCACTCTGAATTCAAGGCGTAATTCTACTGTTGCAGTTTCAATCACTCACCAGATTTAGGCCTCCCCCTTTTGCTATGCTGTAATACCTTCCAATATAGTACAAGCAGAACATGAGCCAAAAGCTGCTCGGGGAGTACTAATTACATCTTCTTCACTGGAGAAAAGCCTGAGGCAACCACGTGGGTTTGGAAGGACAGCTTTCATCCTTCGGTGTCTTAATATCCTCTTTTTTGCCCCAGTACAGTTTCCTTCTGTAAATTCTTGAAATTCCAAAAAGAAAAAAAATAGGGATTCTATGCTTCCTTATCATTTTTCACAAAATGGAGATGAGGGCTTTTAGCATATATTCTTTTGTTTTTATGAGAAATGATCGAGATATTCAGGTTGTAGCCTAAAGTGAACAGATTCCCTATGGTCCTTTTAGCATCCGATTCTGGTAACTAGTCAGGAAATATTAATCATGTTGTTCTAAATATTAAGATGATTCTCTTCTCCACTTACGGAGTTTTTGTTTTAAAAAGATGTGCAGATGTGTGCAGGCTGAAAGGGGGGTTTTCAAATTCTAGGTTTTTTATACTCTTGACCGTTAGCTTTCCGTTTTATATAATAGAGGATATACTCGGTCAGTTTTCATTGCTGTTGCTGCAGTTCAAATTTGTACCACCCAGAAAGCAATGGAACATTTTCATATAAAATTACTGTACCTTTTGAATGTTTCATTGCCTGAAGGACTAAAGTATTCAATGCATCTCCTTTATCTTTTTTAAGTTTGTTTGTCCTTTTTTACTTTGATGTGATGTGAGTGCTGGTCAATTATTGTAGTTTTCTATGCTGATGATTTTAAATAATAGTAAAATATATGGTATTCTCTTTTTTAATAATTATTTTTTCTTTTTTTAATTCAGCATGATCTATCTGGCCATATCTGACATTAAATTAGACCTGGTCTTGCTGTTGTCATACCATGCCCTTTTTAACAAAAGGTTGTACTCCCTTTGTCCGCTTGTTGTTGAAAGACATCACATCCCATTGCTGTCAGTATTATTATTATTATCAGGGAAATTTACTTACCTAGCACACAATTTTTATGTTCACACCTAAATTTTCATGTTTGCTCGCATGTTAAAGATTTGAGTGCTATGTGTGTAGCTGAAGTTTAGGTGTGGGATTAGTAAATACATACGAATTATGTGCTATGTATGTAAATGGCCCTTATTATTATTATTATGGGCATTGGACAGCACTTGGAGTGTATCAAAGTACATCTGTGTATTTGCTGTTAATTTTGAATTATTTAATTAAACTTTCCGTTAATTTTTTTTAATGCCTTTTTTCTTTAATTTTTTACCTTAAAAGTAGAAATGGACAAGATATGAGGAGTCTGTCACTTGTGTGGGGTTTGTTCTTGCTTAAATGTTTATTCAATAAAATTCCAGCTGGGAAGTGATTAATTTCTTCAAAAATGATGTATATGGCAGAGTCCTTCGTTGTTTGTAAGCTAAGTGGTCCAAATTGAACAAATGCATGTTGAACATTTTCTAACCAATATGCTTATCGTCTCGACATGGGAAAAAAAAAGAAAAAGACCAAAATAAAATTTAATGTGGGGCATTTACATACATACCACCTAATTCTTATATATTATACATATATAGTGACTAAATTTTGTCTTTTCTCTTACATTTATGCCATCAACTCTTTTCATATCACATCAAAAATCTCTCTCATAATTTTGAAAAAGTGCATGGGGAAGGTGCCATATGTAATAAATTAACGGATATAGATATGGAAGCACATAAGAATTTCAGTGGTGTGTAAATATTTCATTTTATAGTTAAAATTTGTGGATAAGATTCTACGTGATTAAAGTTGGAAGACGGCATCAAATAAACTGAATATAAATCATTCCTTAATGCTGCTAATAATATTGATGTGAGTGGATTGGTTTTTACAAGAATAAATTTTTTTAGTGTGTGTATAATTTTTCCTGCTTCTATTGACCACTAAATTTCACTCTCCCTTTCAATTCCTGGAATTAAAATCAGATTTTTGAAAGCTTTTAAATTTTGTTTTGAGCTGCAATAAAACTGACATGAATTTTGAGCTCTCTCCGCATCTGTGTTGAGAACTAAGTCATTTAAAAGATGATTAGTTGAGCTTTCATTGTTGATGAAGCAGTTGAAGCTGTCGGAAATCGTTTTATTTCAAATTTGCCAAACCAAAAAAATAACCAAGTAAATGAACTAAGACAAATAATAAATCTAAAAAATGATTTGGACGAGTTTTGATAATTTAGATTGATTTTGCAGTTACCATTCAATTTGATTATTTTATTGTAATAATTATTTAGGTTAATTTTAAATGGTTACATCAAAGACATGATACCAAGGATCATGCATTAATTCCAGACAAAAATAAATCCTGCTATTGAACCCTCTCAAATAATGACATTTGGCTGAGCTCCTTCATGCCATAAATAATACCTGCTTTGTCTACTCCATGGGGGAAAAAACAAACAGGTGTTACAATAAAGCCATCATAAGCCACCCAAGTTATGTCCCACACACCCCAAGTTTTAGTATATTTATTTACAAAGTCATCAAAGAGGAATGAAATGAAATGAATGAATGTGTCATCATTCTGCCAACATGTCTATTCCATAAACTTATTCATATATCCGTTATAAAGAACTCAGAGGGTCCCCCCACAATCTTCTCTTTGGAATCACCCTCTCATCTTTTAAGAAAAAATAAAAAACCTGAGATTGCAGGAAAAGGACAGGTACAGCAATTTTCATGTAATCAAACTCTGCTCATCCCAAACTCACGTGTGACATTTATTAAGGGGAGAGAAAGGGATGTGAATCTGTCCTCATGATTCTTTCTGTCCTCAGCCAATCACTGTTTTTAATTTGATTATATCCATTCCATTTGGAAACATATGAAGCTTCCATTCTCTCTCTCTCTCTCCTCGTACTGTTTCTATAGTCATCATCCTGTCATGTCGTAGATTTCATATGGGTGCTTGAAAGCCATGTATTTATATTATAATTATATAGCTTATGTCACATGAATGAGAGAGAAAGATGAGCGTGTGGGCCAACTTTGTGGCAGTGTCCAAAGTCTGGGTAATTTATATTTCAATGTAGAAACACCTTTTTATTTATTGATCTATTGAATGCATGCGAGGTCCATTTTTATTTTTCAAAATATTTAATAAAGTCTAATGCATATATGATGATGATATATAGTTTTTATGTTCATTATTATTATTTATTTGGATGTGACAGAATAATTAAATAATATATGGAAAAGAGTCTTGTGATATTGAAATTAATAGTATTTACAATATTTCAATGAATAATTTGAATCATATAATATATTTATTAAGATGGTTGCGGAATTTAAATTTTTGATGATATTGAGTGGAGTCTATTTTTTAATATTTTTTAAATTGATAAGGACTAAGAGGATAAGTTGATGCCATTGATCTTTAAATATATATTAAAAGTTTAGGATTGCTTTCATGAAGATGAAAGCTCTCGTCTACCTCTGACTCCTTCCTCCTCCCCTGTCTCTATACAGCTTGTCATAAGGAAGCTTAAAATATTTAGAGAACTAATCTTCTTTTATATATATTTAGATATTGTCAACTCTTCTTCATAAATTTCTCCTTTCAACCATTCACATGTTTAATTTAAAAAATAATAAAAAATAAAATAAAATCAATCTTGACATACTAATATAATTGTTGACCACTTGAGCTCTTCAGACTGCATGAGCATATGGATACATGCATTGACATTTTTTAATGCTAAAGATACATCATTTGTATATGTTTGTTTTTCTCTATTAGTATTTATTCAATATTTATTGAGTTTTAGGGGTATTTACATGCAATGCACAAAATTCTTATGAGTTTGCACATCTCACACATATTCTTATATATATCACATAAAAATAACACTATTATTACTTTTTGAAGTAATACATTTTTTTCATGCATAAATTTAAAACACCAAAATGCTATGTATATAAACATGAAAATTGGGTGAGATATGTAATTACATAGAAATTGCGTTGTATATATGTAAATCTTCGACTTTTAAGAAAACTGATTTTAAAGACTCAGACATTCAGATCAAAAGTAGTGAGAATATCCTAACATGAGTTTCTTCTCATAAGAATAAATGTGAATCGTCTGAAACTTCTGAACTCAGATAGCAATCATCAGAATTAAAAATGGAAAAATATTCAGCGTAAATTCTGCTGAAATTGGAAAAAAAGTTGGAGTATAAAAAGCAGAAATACTAACCTATCACAAAGAAAACCAAATAAATTTTCGTTGGTTAGTTAAGTTATATCATCAGAATTAAATGATGCAAAAACAGTAGCTGTAAGAATTGATAAAAACTGGAGAAAGAAAATGAAGAAGAAGAAGGGCTGAATCTATCAGACGAACGATCGATAAGAGACATGCATCAGCTTTCAAATTTTAGTCCGCCGTAAAGCACGAAAGCGTCTTCAGCAATGAGCTATCATTTCTGCAACCAAAAAACATTTATAGTGAAAATTAGCCAAAATTTGTTAGGAGGCCAGATAAGATTTACCAATTGAACATACCTCGGATTCGACAGGCTTGGCATCCTCAGCTTTGCTTCCATCATCGCCTGCTGTAATGTGAGGACGACAACAAAATTAAGCTTTTATAAGAGACTTTAGCATAGCACTTATTTCAAAGTATTTTCTTGAAACCCCTCCAAATCAAAGTTTATTTAGGCATATCACTGCCAATCTATTCATTTTGCACCGAGACTGCATCAAAAGAAATTTACATGCCTTTTATGCATCTACATGTTTAACACCTAAAGTTTAATATTTACATTCATAACTCTCAATCTTTAACATCTCATCAAAAATACTACTTTACCAATTTTTCACAAGTTAAAGGCACCTTTTTTATGTATACCTTTATTGCATCAATGTGTTATAAATGTAAATATCAAACTTTAGGTGTTAAACATGTGAATTTATAAAAATTGTGTGCTAGGTAGAAGAAAATATTTAGAATAGGTGCATGTAAATATTAGACCATTACCTCCATCATCAGGCAAATCAGAGGTCCAAAGGGTGAGGTTGTCCCTCAGCAACTGCATGATCAAGGTGCTATCCTTGTATGACTCCTCATTCAAGGTGTCGAGTTCAGCAATGGCCAAATCAAAGGCTTCCCTTGCTAGATGACAAGCCCTACAAAATCGATAAATTGCTTGGAAACAGAGAAGCTAAGGAAACTCTGTAATGTTGAAGTTGTTTGGAGACAGCAATATATCAAAAAAAACTATTACTTTTCAGGAAGATTCATGATTTCATAGTAGAAAACAGAGAAGTTTAGTGCAAGACCGAGCCGAATGGGATGGGTCGGGGGAAGGTCAGTGCTAGCATTCATGGATGCAACCTACAGAGAAGGAAAAATTGTCAAACTAAACACAAGAAAATATTAAATAAAAACTTTGTACATGCCTGATAACCCTTCAAAGATTGTTCAGCTGCATCCTTCTTCTCTGGACCCGTTTTAAACTCTGCCAGATAGCGATTATAATCACCCTTCCTGCAAAATTTTACATGTTCATAAGAATGTGTAATGAAATAAAATGTTTTTTTTATCTGAAACCCCCTAAACGAAGACTGGAAACTCCAACCAAGCCTCACAAATCTGTAAAATCACGTGTAAAACATGTAAATCATTATGAATAAACACCATGTTTGCTAACCATCAACGAACTTTTTCTGTAATTCACTGACCATAGTTTGCCTCAATCATTAAGTTTTGAACAGAGAAGGAAAGCTGGTTCATCTTTCTTTCCGATTGCTTTATGCTTCAGGTTAAAGAAGGAAAAGGTTGGGAGTTATAATATAGCAGCATTTACAGACATACCACCCAATTCCTATGTATTTACATATCTAACACATAGACTTTACTTTTTGAATTTATACGACCGAAATCTTTCATATTACATCAAAACTACCATTATTTTAACTCTTAAAAACTGAAATTCATATTTTCATGCATAGGTAAGGTGGCATACATGCAAAAGTTGAAGTTTTGAAGTTAGATAAGCAAATACATAGAAATTGGGTGGTACGTATGTAAATCTCCCATATATGAATTAGCCTCAAGGAGATCCTTAAATATAGCACACTACAAATGTGGTTGTTCTTTTACTTTTGATTGTATGCAAATGCATGCCAACTGCAATGCATAATGGTACAACTAAACATCAGAACATCACGTTAATGCTATAGATTGTAAGCTTTAGCCATTAAGAAATCACTTCATAGAAATTAAAATCAATAGAAGAGTTTGCATTCCTTACATCTTGTAATAAAATATTGCTGACTCTCCAGATTTGGCAGAAGGGATCAGGTTTTCATCAATGATAAAGAGTATATCACTGCATATCTCACTAAGCTCATTCTCAACCTTTTGGCGATAACCTTTAATCAATCTAACATTGTTCTCATTTTTTTTTGACTCTTCCTTCTGCTCAATAGAGGACATGATGCGCCACGATGCACGGAGTGCTCCGATGACATTTTTATAGCCAACGGAAAGAAGGTTTCTCTCCTCAGCCGTCAGTTCCACGTCAAGCTTAGCAACATTTTTCATGCTCTCAATCATTTCTGCAACAATTAATCAATATAAGAGCTGAAATTAGAGCAAGTGTGGACAAATTTTATGTTAAATCAGAAGAAAAAATGTAATTGATTCTTTCATGATATTACGATCAAGTTCTGGCAAACATGGAGCTGAAAATTGTAAATTGACAAGACAAGTAATGTTCCAGTTTTCACCAATAAAGGCAACATAATTAAAATATTCATAGTTTTGATTATTTTAAAAATAATTTTTGGGTAATAATTCTTTTTAATAAAATCAAACTTTTTCATAAAATCAAACATATTTTAGGAAGATGCATTACAATTACAACTCATAAAGCATGCTAATGATATAACTTTAATTTCTACAATGAGGGTTTCTATTGCTAAAAAATAAGAATATAAGTCCAAAGATTGAAAGATAGGCCTCGATAATGTCCATAAAATTTGGTGATATGTAACCATTTAAGTGTTATGAAAAAACAACGACAATAAATGAAAAAAAATCGGATCGAAAAACTACAAACCAGAAAAGAACACACAGATTTACGTGGTTCGACTAATTTGCCTACATCCACGGAGCTGCAGAGGATTTTAGTGTTTCGAGAAATTACACCATCGAGCGCCTCAAAGTTTACAAGAAAACTTCATTTCTTCTCTCTTCCTTTCTCTCTCTTAGCTCTCAAGAGGACTTGACTTAGCTTTTATGACAGACCAAAAGAGGTTATTTAAAGGAAACGGGAGAGAGATAGGTGGAGAGAGGTAGGTGAGACGCGATAGATGAGGTAAATAAGTCACAAGCTCAATATATTTAACAATTATCCCACTTGGAGACTGGGACACTGACTACATCATCTGCAGTTTGTATCATTTGCCGGTTGTACCGACCTTTTATTTCAAACATGATATCATCCACTTTCCTCCACCTCTGCAACTCATGACTCATGTCTTCACGTTGGAAAACCAACTGAAGTTGAGCACAATTTCAGTTTCTCAAGAGTACACTCTTAGTCGACATATCAGCGTCAACATATATTTGTACCTCCAAACTCTTTTCTGGGTTACTCCTACATTTGCTTACAACTCTCACTATATGGACAATATTCTACCTCAGCTGAAAGTGATTTTCAACAAATCCAGTCTTGTATCTTTTACTGTCATCAAGCACAATCTTCACCCGGTACAACCACTTGTCTTGTAATGTCTTCTTCTCAGGTGAAAGTTATGTCAGCTCCCAAGTTTAATTTATTGGCAGGGAATCCGTCTCCTTCTTGGTCAGCTCCCACTTGCTCGAATTCTCATCTTGCAAGATTTTTTTATAGCTTTGGCTTATGTGACCAAGTTTACAATCCTCCAGTAAGTAAAATTTGTGTCATTAAACTTCTCGATCTCAGATGTCATCACTTCGTCTCCGCCCATCGTTGTTCCTTAGATCCGAACCAAAGCTCTAATACCAATTGTTATGAAAAAAGTACGGCAATAAAGTGAAAAAAAAATCGAATCAAAAAATTACAAACCAGAAAATAACATACAAATTTACGTGGTTCGACTAATTTGCCTACGTCCACGGAGCTGCAAAAGATTTTAGTACTTCGAGAAATTACACCGTCGAATGCCTCGACGTTTACAAGAAAAAGTTTTTTCTCCCTTCCTCTCTCTCTCTTAGCTCTCAAGGGGACTTGGTTTAGCTCTTATAACAGACCAAAAGAGGCTATTTAAAGAAAATGGGAGAGATGTAGGTGAAGAGAGGAGGTGGGAGAAAGATACGTGAGACGCAGTAGATGAGGTAGGTAAGTCAAAGATTCCATATATTTAACATTAAGGTTAGCCTTACAAATTATGTTATCACGCAGGTTCGCAACCCTAATGTTTGCCCATCCTAATGCCTTCAAATTAGCATTCGCAACCCTAATGTTTGCCCATCCTACTGCCTTCAAATTAGCATCCTCGACACATGGATACTTCTCTCTCTCTCTCTTTGTTTTTTTTTTCTGCACAAAACAAAGAAATTTAATTTTCGAACATGGCCATGAATAAGCTTTCCTTGAAAGGATTAGATAGCAAAGAAAATACTAGTTCGAAATTACAATCTAAGTAGATGGGGATTAATTGAAGACAAATTAATGATCATCCAACATTTGGAGCAATCCTTAAACAAATTTTGTGCATCTTCTCTTCATCTTCTTATGTCCTCTATTACCAGTTTGCCATGTTGTATTTTCTCCACTATTAGTGCATATTGTGATGCCATATCCACAAGCACATCAGCTAGCTCCAAGGTATGTAGGTGGAGCTCCCTATTTAGTGTCCTCAACTCTTCTTTATGATCGATAGTAGGAGACTTGGGATAAATCGATCCAACTCCTTGATCCTCCAAGCTAGGAATCACAACATCTCGGTAGTGTAGGAGGCACAATAGATAGAACAAACACCCTGGATGGGCGATGGAGACTGATGAGTATACAAGAGGTATTTGAGGAACTCCTCGAAAGATTTAAGTTTTTAATTTTTTTTAAAAAATAATGTTACATTGTTTTGATGGGGCAACATCTAGTCACCGGTATATCTTAAGATTAAAATAAATGAAACAATAAAAAAAAAAAATCATTATGATCACCTTTGAACTTTCTATATAATATTGTACATTGTTTAATTAAGATACATTAGATCAAGGGCACAGTACATTTGTTATCAAGATAAACTACTACAAGCATTACATTGAATCCAAACAATATTGTCTGAGACAATTTCGTGGAGTTTGGATTGTGATAGAAAAAACATAATGCTTCGGTTAATGTTTTCTTCAATATTGCTCTGCCCATTCAACAATATACAAGAACCCGAGCACCGAGTTCGATTTTCTGAGCAGAATTTGATTCTTTCAATTTTCATGCATAGTTTCAGCATTTCCACTCACCCCCAAAAATAAATTCTGAACAAACATAAAGCTATCGTATAACATTAGAACGAAAAGTAATCACCTCGCACTCAAACAAATCAAGCATACCACAAACAAATCACAAAATCGGCATTCCACCCAAAACGGAACGAATCAATCTGCCAAGGCCGATCGATCCGAATCCATTCAATCGACTGCCAAAAAACCGAATACATAAAGAACGAACAAATAGAGGAATGAACATGGAAGCAAATGATCATCTAGTCACCGACCTTCATAACGCTCGGCCTGCTCGGCAAGCTTCGCCATGTAGACATGCTTCTCCCTCACCTTCTCCGTCGACATAATGAACGTAAGAAATCGATCGAGACCGCCTAACAGAGCTGCAGCAGAAATATGGATTCACGGCGAGGAGAAGCGAGATTTGAAGGACGAAGATGAGGGAAACGAAGCAGTTTTACGCTATCGATGGCCAGGATCTGGACCGTTGGTTCCTCCCAATTTTAGCGGAGAAAACTTCGAGGCCTTAGCTGGGAAGATCCTGGCCGTCCATTTTTCCTATTTTCCGCGGGGTTTCCGTTGCCAGTAATTTTTCCTTTGTTAAGAAAAAATACTGATTCGATTTTTTATTTTTTATTTTTTGTTTTTTACATTCAAACATTGTTATTTATATATCTTACTCCTCAAAATTTAATATTACAAAATTGACCCTTCCTTTAATGTTTCCCTCTCCATCATTTTATGATAAACATATTTTTATATATAATTTTATTATACCAAAATATTATAAATATAAATTTGAAAATTTTATGTATTATGTGTGTAAATACATAAAAGTTATTTTCTATATATATAAAATTTTCAATGGTAGCCAGCTTTTATATATAATATTTCTTACATTATTTAATCTAATTATTAGATCAAAATTATGGACCGCGATAAAAATTTTATTATGATTTGATGATTAATTTATTTTTTTTAACTCAAGATTTTTTAAAATTTGATAAAAAATATCCACCTTATAATGTCCTATAAAAATATTAGTTTCATGCAATATTTTAAAATTATTTCTTTAAAATTATTTTAATTGTATTTTGAATATACTTGAAATTTTCATTTTATTTTATTTATTTTAATTATAAAATAGATAGATTATTTTTTTTGTTATTTAAATCATCCGTCAAGATGTAACATTTATTTATTTAATTTATGATTAAATTATCTCATGGAATTATGAAAATTTATAGCATATTAATTTCAATAATAAAATTTAGATGAATGATTAAGATTTATCAATTAAAAATTATATAATAAAAATATTGATATGCAACTCTCTCGTTTATCTTCAAATATAGTTCACATATATTTATATTATTGTTGGGATAACATAGATCATATTCAAGGTGTTGAGTTCCTTGAGGCACACCGTCATTATGTCAAAAGTTCTTGGGGTTGTAATTTGTGCAATTCTTTTATGCGCTCTTCAAATCAAGTTATACCTTTAATTATATAGCCAAGCCTATAGATCAAAGTTACATTTGTAATGCCTTGCTTATGCATAAGAACATAAATAGTAGCCAGGGGGTTCGAAGAAGTAATCATTGGGTGCCTTGGATCTAATTTTTTTTAGCCTCCCTCACCACAAATCTATATCAATCCATATGCTTGAAGTAAGATCACAAGAAGACTGAAAGCCTCTAGGGTGACATAAATGAGAATAGTTAGACACTTCCAACCATTTTAGGAGGTCACAAGGAAATACTAAATCTTTCATCCTTTGTTGAAGGTGGAAAATCTTGTTAGGGATAGAGGAAGTGTACATTGAGTATAAAGTAACATAGGCATTCCAAATAATAAATACAAAAGAGAACAATTATTGAGGTGACCAAGAGACTTCATACTTATCTAAGAGCCATCTCATGCCCCTCAACATCATGCAAGCATTATGAAGAGCTATGAAAGAATAAACATAAATAAAGACAACACATTAGATTCCTCTTCCTAAAATTGGAGGTTCAAATCCATATTCAAATACAACTTAAAAGGAGAAAATATTCTTTTTATTGAATCTTACATTTATCCTCTCACTTGGCTATGGACCCCTTAATTGATAGCCTAAAAGAGAAAATTTTCTTCATTAACATTTATAATAAAGCAACCATCAAATGGGAATCCACAAATAAAAACTCGAGCAACACACCAAAAAACTAATATTAACTATTTTAATCATTCTCATTGTTCATTATTATAGATTTTGACCTTTAAAAAACACAAGTAAGAAAAAAAATGAAGGATGAGCACTAATGAGCAAATTTCTAAAAAAGAAGGTAACAATTTGCTCATATTTTAATTTTATAACATTAATTAGATAACATTCTAATAAATCAAAAGTCTTCAAATCAAAGTGTGGAGGGAGGGGGGAGAGAGAGAGAGTGGCATGACACATGTCATCATGTGGATGGTCATCTCTCCAACATTTTATAATATGCTAAAAATTATAGCCATATATTAGAGGATGAAATCAATTATCAATACAACAGAATCAAGCACTCACAATGATCCCATCTCACGAGTCACAAGTTGCATAACACTCTTATCACAATTTAACTATGATCATGCCCTGAGTATTACCCAACACAATTTAAGTTCATACTTCTTATAGTCGTCACCATTACATTTAAAATTTAAATATATTTCCATAAAAAATGATATCTTTTATCAATATATATATACATCAATACATTAAAATAATCCATTCGACCAAATTGAGTGCTTTGGGAATACATCCATTTTATTTTTTTAAGGAATATTTTGTATGCCTGACTGCCACTAGTATTTCTTAAACACTTCCATGCTATGTTGGATCTATTAGCCAAAAATTAGCTTTCACCTCCATGTTTAAGGCAAATAAATTAGTTTTCAATAGATCTTGACCTCCAAAGAGGTGGCAACAAGTAAGCATCTCTATAACAATGTAGAGCGTCACATTAAAGGAAAACTCATAATAAGACCAAGCCATAAAGAACTATCATAGAAAAACTTATATTATAATGAATTCACCTTCTAAGCTCTAAATGTAACTTATTTTCAATTGCATGTACATGATTTATGTGAATAATTTATCTTAAAAATTTCTTCTCTAAGGGAGATAGTTTGACAAGCTGATATGAGAGATATTTCGTAGATCTTTTAAGGATTGCTCTAGCATATTGACCTCATAAAATGATACATAATGAGGCAAAAATAATGAAAGGCACCATCTGTGAATGTAAAGGGCCCACAAAATTAACATTATTTTTGTAAAGGGCCCAAAAAAATAACATTTGGAATAGTGAATTTGCTTAGCTTATCTTATCTTATTAAAGAGACCAAATGAGTAAAACCTAATATTCCCTCATATAAGGATATAGATCTTGATGATCATGGAGCATATCTCAAATGTTATCAGAACAAAAATTGCTAGCATCATCTCCTTGCTTGTTGATACACCTCATATTCATAATAAACAAAATAAAATAAATAGTCACACAACATTGCTATGAGAATATGTTATAACCTTCAACCATATATATCCTTTTGAATGATTAAAGATACAATCGGTGCTTATACGGTGCAACCAAATTAAAATATTAACATCATTTCAAGTATAATAACAACATGTGTTCCTATCATAAAATATTTGACATGCCGATGGGACATTGCATCTTATGAGTGCTTGCTTTACTTGGCATTTCAAATAATTATCAATATAGATTTTGTTGGAATACACAACTTGATACAATGACATATTTTCCATAAATTTAATCTTAAATCTATGTGTGTTGGATATATAAATTTTTATCAGCCATCTTTGGCAGCACCCCCTAAAAAATTCATCCTAACACATTACAGTGGTAAGCCCATTTTTAACAATACTTATTGCTACATCTAAGTATTTTTAAGTTTTTATAAAAATATTTTATAAGGATTTAAAATAATAACAATTATATATGATATTAATAATCAAATTAAAATGATAAGCAACATTTAATGTTTCCTTTTTTATCTAAATTTAAATTTTTTTATTAAAAATAACATTAAAAAGATGCACTCCTTATACATTATCTATTTGATGTTACATTAATCATAATTTTTTTCAATTACATTGAGGACTTATCATCTTATGACTTTCTTATAACCTCAAGTATTTCTCATAACATCATGATTACCCATTGATTCATCTCTAAAAATTAAGACATTGAAGGATGTCTCCTTAAAGAGCGATGCTTTGACACATGCAAAATTTGTCAAAATAACTCATATTTTCACTTCTTCTGCTTGATTTGAGATAGTCCAATATTCAATTATGTAATAAGGTATCCAAGTGCATGTCACCACAAACTCTTTTTGTTCGACGTGTTGTGAAAGTATATTGATAAAATAATAAAGTTCATCAGGCCTATTGTATCTCAACTTTACTTCAAATTCCATGAACTTATTATCATAAATGTCATCCAGTTTTAAGGATCCATTAACTTCACTAATATCTTATATAGCCAGCCCTATATTTGACCATTCAAACTTGCCTCTTTAAATGCCTCATGAGATGCGGTTCTCTTCATTGTAAGTTGCCTTCTCACCATAAGTTGAATGCTCAGCCCATTCGACTACAACACATTGAATATCAAAGAGACTTTTTTCTAAATTTCAAACCTTCATGCATGGAAAAAAGAACATTTTTGTATATATTTCCCAACTTATTAGAACATATGGTTACTTGATTGACAAAAAAAAACACATGTATATTTAATATGAAAAGTAAACTAGTCAGTTAATGATCTTAGCTTTATTAAATCATGAAGTATTAGGAGCTCAAGTTGCACATTAGCATCAAAAGACAATAAACACAATCTCTTATTTGTTCTAACTCTTATACAGTTTGTTTGAAAACTTAAAGACTTATTTATTATTTGAATTTATTGTATGACATTATCTAATGCACGTTATAATTTGTAATATTATATTTATTGTAGTTTATCTATTTCAACCCATAATATGAACACTATAAAAAGAAGCTTCATTCTCTTACAAAGTGGTCACAAGTTATATATTTTTTCCTTATACCTTTCCTAAATTGTATGTCAACACAATTAGTCTCAAAAGTTGTTGATCATTAAGTTGAAATAGTGTTATGAGAATCATCCATATTTTTTGCATCTTGTGGCCTTGATCACTAGTTAATGTGAAATGGGAATAATCCAGTATTAATATTGTAATAGTATTCAAATAAATAAAGGTTAAGAGATATAATAATTATATTACATGTGCTTATTCTATATGAAATTCACTTAAACTATAAAATTAATAAAACTTATATTAATGTATTGTTGAATGGATTAAAGTTTTATTGAATTAGCAACTAATGACAGCCAAGCAAATGTTATCAACTTGAATCATTAAATAAAATTAGTCAAACAAAGCACTATGAAGCAAAATTATAAAATTGGAAAAAAAGTGAGTCTAGTGTTCCAATATGCAAGGAAAATATATGATAGGCTCATAGCCTTATAAAAACATACCTTTAACTTAGTTCATAATTGAATAAGTGGTGAACTTAAATATCAATATTTAATTTTAAGAGAACTTCATAAAAAAAAAATGCTTTTATATTTGATAATTAGTTATATCATCTTAATTAATTGCAAGAATTTAAAAATGATTTGAACTACATGACTAAATGCAGGAGATAAAAAAAAAAGCCAGATAAGGGAACTAGTATTAATGCCGGTATTGGTATCACATGGTTACAAAACTATTTATGATACATGCATCAAAATAACACAAATAACTTTCCACCATTTTTTTTTAAACCATTTAAAGATAAGTTGAAAACATTCAAAATAATTATCTAAAAATTTATATATTCAATGATAAATGCATAGAGGTCACAAATAAAAATAGCAAATACCATTTCATATCTTAGCAAAATAATATCAAGAGAACTAAAGAAGGCCCAAACACAAGAGGCATATAATTAACTAAGAAGTTAAACATGCATATAGCAATTGGGCACAAATAAAAAATATTTATGAGACATGAATCTCAAAATAATAAAAAAATTTTCTCAAAACTTAACAACACAATTATAACGTATGTGATGGTCTATAATTAATCTTAAGAAAAAAAAACGTATGTATATCATTTGCTTAATAACATTAAAATAATGTCATGAATATATTATAACTTATGAAAAATTCAAGAAAAATGATACCACACATACCGAGAAGTCCACAAATAAATATAAAGAATGACATTGGTCATCACTTGAAGGTAGTGAATAGAGGTGATTCAAAGCAGCATCAATTAACATAAGATCGGATCCATTGAACTTGAGATTTGAGAGTGATTAGATGAATATTGAGAGGCAAATTCATAGGGAAATAGAAAGTGGTGAGATTTATAGGGTTCTGGAGAGACACAAGATCTTTATTACATTTGAACATTATCAAACAAAGATCTTCTTATGTCCAACTCAATTAAAAAAGAGATCTAAATATCTATTCAACATGAACTCGGTTTCATAACAAATGAGTCAAATTTAAGCTTTATAACAAGCAAAATATAAGTTATTCACAAAAAAATAAATCTTTTCATCTACCCAATTAGAAAAATGTATTTTGCCAACTATTGTATCTTGTTTGACATGCGTAAACCTTGGTTGAGATCCCAAAATTTTAAGTTTAATTTGAATTTCAATGAAGAACTTGCTCCTAAAATCACCCTGTTCATTATAATTAAACAAAACACAATAATACATGACCTCCATTATAAAGGTAAGATTATTATTGTGAGAAAATAAGATTTTTTTTTCTTATTTTTATGGAAGAGAGAACTTTTAGAGCCATAAGTAAATCGTTGTATTTGATAAATAACTCAAGGTTGTCATGATTGACACTCTTCCAAATTAGCAATCAAATATGTTTGGCTATTTTTTTTTAAATTAAATGAATCAAGATTAATTATTGTCTAACTCAAATGTGACATATTGTTTCATTAATATATCCATGAGATATTCACCTAAAATAATAATTGTACATATATAAAATTTTAAATATAAATTTATATTCTATGTAATTATCCCAAATGATGGGGCAACTATACATATAGATCACCTCGAAATTGCTATTTACAAATCAACCTCTCTCTTTCATCAAAATTTTAAATTATCACTCAAATATCAAAACTCATGATAAACTTCCCATCGATATCTTTTATTTTTATCAAATTTTGAATAATTTGATCATGACATATGCATAAATACATCTATAAGTAGTTCAAAAATCTCATGGGCGGATAGTTGAAAATATGAATATTTGAAATGGTTATTAAGTAATTATCCGAGGTGATTCGAGCCCCTTCAAAGAAAATAAAATTCATCCATTATTTGTCCGAAGTAATCCCTAGCCGCGGGAAGAACCAAAAAGCGAGTACTTTAGCCGGCGAAGAAGAGCTACGGTAGTGCAAGATGAGGGAGAGCAGCTCCGCAGGGAGCGATCCTCGTCAGCCATTGACGGCGAAGCCCTACGTTCCGCCGCCGATTTCCCCGCAGGATCTTCCCGTCGATTACGCTGGATTCCTTGCTGTCATCCTCGGAGTCATCGGCGTAATGTTCCGTGTACTTATCTCTCCCACGCTCAGATCTCTTCATTTTTGCCTTTCGTCACTCTGATAAAAATATTCTGTTTTCTGTACTCCGATCCATGTCTTTATTCACTCTTGCTGTGAGATATGTGAATTGAGGAAACAAATTCCAGAAATGCAAAACAAGACTTTTGAAATGAAGCGCACAAAATAAAAGCCTCAGGAAACACAAGATTTTAACACGGGAAAAACCGAGAACAGAGAAAATCACGAAGACACGCCACACCAAAAAATCACTATAAAAAAATGAGGAGAATCATGCACATGACACCACAATAAAACCTCTGTACACTTTGAAAACACCAGTACACTTCCTTCATCTCATTTTCACATGAGAAACACCTTCCAATTGGCATAACTAAAATTTTATATGAAAAATTACCCAGAGGAAGTTGCAGGCATGGGGCGCCGTGATGGTGGCATTGCCGCACTCCAATGGGCACTGCTGTGTCGTGTTCTCGGGCTCTAAAACTAGATTGGGCATGGGGGCGTTCTCTTCCAGGAGCCGGGGGCACTACTGAATTGGCGTTGGGGCACTGTTTGTACAACATTGAGGTGCTAGGTACATAAAAAATAGAGGGCATTGAGACACTCTTTGAAAGACAAGTGCAATACATCACTTGTTGATTGAAGAGTGGTGCAGGAGCTTGGCGAATTCAATTAGTTGAAACCCGCAGGCATGAATGATGCCGCAGTGTGAAGAACTGGTCATAGATGAACAAATTAATGCAAGGCCACTTTCTCTCAATGAAATATGAGCAAATGCTCCATTTACAATACCAAAGCTGTGTTCAAGGTGACCAAACTGTGAAAGAATTTTTTATATTTAGTACTAGAAATAATTTAAATAAAGCTGATCAACATTTGGTAGCAAGGGATATAAGACGATTGAAAGATTTTATTGAATGCAAGGTAGAGATAAATTTAGTATGGCCTTTAGTTCAGCCTGTAAATTTTGCTTATAAGGCCGAATTATACAATCTAGGTAGCCTAAATCTTTGTCATCTTGTCTAGGATTGATTGAGCTTAATAAAATGAAAAATTGAGGAATCCTATCACACACCCTCACAAACCGAGCACCCGTTAGGGCCAAAACAAGACAACCAATTCTGCTGCAGTTAAACTGAAAGTTAATTCTAAGTGTATTTTTAGCTATGAAAATATATATTATAGACCCGATATGGGCAGATCTTTCAGTTGTTTCCTTTTGAGTCACTATAGTGCCTGAATTGGCTGTAGCTGCAATTACTGAGGGGCCGTTTGGGGGCGCGGTTTACCTGCGGTGCATCCCTAAACTGCGGTTAATGTTCGTTTGTTTCGACATTTGCTCAGCTGCATGGAGCATTTTTAATGAAACGCGGGTTGAGGGTTCGATCCCGCGGCTCGCATTTGTTTATTTTATTTTTCAAAGATGCCCCAGCATTTCGACTCTGCTTTCGCTTTTTTTTGCCCTAATCGTCCCGCGGAATGCTTCTGCATTTCTTCTAATCTTGGAGCTTTCTCCTAACTAACCCGCTTTCGCATTCTTCTGCTCTGACCCTCCCTCTCTTGCATTATTTTGAGACTTCTATGCTTCTTCCTACGGTATTCTCTATCCCTTAAACTCGCACCTCCCGCCTTCTTGAGTTTGGTTGTTTGTTTTTCTGAGAGTTACAAAAATTTGTTGGCATCTAGTTATTTTGTGCATTTGATTTGTGTTTGAGGATATTGATTGTTGGTGATGGTGGTTTTGGCTGTTGTTCGTTTCTTTCATTATTTTGAGATGCAAAGGATGAGGTATTGGTTTCGACAGCTGTTTTGGCTTTAGGCATTGGTGATGGTGGTTTTATTATTGTTTTGGTGGGGTGTTGAATTTGTGGTTTTGTTATTGCATTGGTGATGGTGGCTTTGATGAGATGTGGCTTTCGACTGCTGTGGTTTGAGTATTATACATGTGGTGGTTTGTTGTGGTTTGAGTATTATGCACATCAATTGGGTGGTCTGCATGCAGATCTTAAAAAAAAAAAAATGCATAGTGATGCTTGACAAAATTCCTTTAGGGGGTTCCTGTATATAAGTGCCCCTTAAAGACTGGTGAAGGTGGTTTTTTGATGTGTAAAATTGAATATTACACATTGTTCATTCGAGTTTCATAATCAACTTTCTTAAAAGGTTGACAAAATAATGTTCAAGTCAGTATTAGTTCATGTCATAACTCAACACAATGATAGCAATAGATAGACAAAGCTCTATGCATGTTCTTGTGAAAGTATTCTGTGTTATATGTCTATATATGAGAGTACCGAAATTTCAAAGTTAATGTTAAATTATTCTGTGGCTACTTGATTTTGAATGAAGTCATTTTCTGTTACCCAAGTGAAGTTTGAGTTTTCTTATTTGATACATTCACTTTTCATTCATATTTCACATTCAATTTGTGTTGATTAAAGTACTATTGTTCATTGTTATTTTATTTAAATATGGATGGTGGCTGAACTGGGGCGTGTGTATGTCTCTCTGCTGTTGGGTGTTTGGTGTTGGTGCTTGGGTGTTGGTGATAGTGGCTGGACTGGGGTGTGTGTGACTCTCTAAAAAGTGGGTGCCTGGTGCTAGTGATAGTGGCTGGATTGGGGTGTGTGTGCCTCTCTCTATTGTTGGGTGTGTGGTGTTGGTGCTTGGGTATTGGTGATGGTGGCATGAACGGGGTGTGTGTGCCTCTCTTCACTGTTGGTTGTTTTTACAATTTTTGTTTTTCTCATGTTTACATGTTTTAACTTTTACCTTTTTTAGGTTAGGTGTTTGTTTTTCTTGGCATTTTTTTTCATGTTCTTTGTTTTACTTTATTATTTTTATTATGGTTAAGTCCAAAGAAGTGGCTTCGTTAGCAATATGGGATAAGGAAGTAACAAACTTATTTTACAACCTATGTATTAAGGAGATTGAGTTTGGAAATAGACCCACCACATACTTTAACAAAGAAGGGTGGTAAAATATTGCGAAGAAGTTCCAGTAAATGACATGAAGGGAGTATGATAGGTTAAAATTTAAGAACAAGTGAGATCAGTTAAGAAAAGACTGAAAGTTGTGGAAGGAATTGAAACGGGATCCACGGATTGGGTTGGGATCCTATCAAACAGACCATTGATGTTTCAAAGGAATGATGTACTGAGAAGTTACAGGTAATAAACATACTTTTAAATGCTTGTATTTATCTTCGTAATTCATGTTATTTTGTTTTAACTAATATGCTTCCTTGAGCGTTGCTGGCTGTGCCAACCACAAAAAAATTCAAGGTGAGCGGAATTGAGCCAGACCAGGAAGAGAAGTTGGATCTCATTTTTAAGGGGGTTGTCGCGATGGGCATGCATGCGTTCAACCCAAGTGAGTAGGGGTTTGTAGGCATACCAGATGACTTGACAGCCGAGCAAGTTACTAGATCAGGTGAAGGCCCGAGCATAAACTTGAGGGAACTCGAGTCCACATGCTAATCAAAATGACCCAGAGTGGTGAAAAAGAAAAATGAAAAGGTCGCTTTCATCAGAAGCTAAATAGATAAACTGATAGAAGTATGTGCAGCTCAGCCTGGTCCTTTAAATGACACCACCATAGATGGCTTTCATGGAGTTTTAGATGCGCATTTTGAAGTTTTGGCTGATACGACGTTCTATCTAAACTTCGTTAAGTTACTTGAGGACCCGACCCGCAGACAAATATTTATGAAGCTGCGCTCTGAGCTTCGTATACAATATTTACGTTTGTCTATGGAAAAATGATTCTGTGATGACATAGTTTGATGGCTTGTTTTTTTCCCGCTGTTTATTTGTTTCGATTGCTTTTTTCGTCTTTGTTGTGAACAATAATATGCCGCCATGTAGTTATTTTTGATATGGAGTAGTTATTATTCAAACTTTTATATTTTTTTTGGTGGGTTTGTGTGGTCCATGATGAGTCATATGACCTTATGAGTTCTTCTGGATAACCGGTTTGTCGTTATTATACGTGAAATCCTAATAAAAACAATCTAAATCCTCTCTTCTTTTCGGTGCATTGGTTTATGAGGACTTACTGGATGACTTTTTTTTTTGGTGATATGAACATTTGACACGGTACATGTCGTTCGGTATGACATAAACCTTCCTTTCTTCGTAGGCTACATGCATAATCGGGTTTTATGCAAGTGTAAGTCTTAAATATAAAATTTTACTTTGTTTGGAAAGTTTGTGCCTTGATCTCTTTGTGTGTTATTTATTTTAGTGTAAGGCCTATGTAATATAATCATGCATCAGATTGGTTTTTATTAATTAATCTATTTTTTTTTCTTATTTTAAATAATTAAGTTGCTTTAATATATCTTTTCCTTTTTGAATTGTTATGGTAAGGTTAACAAAATATTCTACGTCACTCTGGCTGTTGAGAAGAATGCCATCAACATGATTTTTAAAGCTTTTATTTATGAAGCTTTTGTATGTAGTCCAAAGTTTAATGTTTGAAGGGCATAACTTTGAAATGGAAGGTTCTCATTTGTGACAATGACCGTCTTTACTTTCTCCATGATGCATCAGATTTGATTGTATCCTAAGAATGCATTAATAAAAATTAATGCAGAGAATCCAACAATTTGAAGACTCGATTGGCAATGGATATTGATTTTTCAGGCATATATCATTTACTTACATGAAATTGACATGTATCCTCCACTTGTTGTTTCCTTTGTTGACCATTCCTACATTTGAATTCATTTGAAATTTTGAACTTTCCTAATGAATTCAGCCTTTAGGAGTTTATCATTTTTTTATTGCCAATTTTATCTCCTCTGAAAGTTTTATTTCTTTTGTTTGATTGCTGATTCGCCTTGGTTGATGTGCAATTTATGGCCATCGCAAGCATGTCGGGTGATTCACAAGCAAAAATAGCTAAAATTTTATTTAGGGAGAAGAATTGATTTGACTTTTGTGTGTATTTTATTGAGGGTTTTTCTCCCTA